GGTGGGTAGAGCTGACTGTTGCTCTGGTGGGCAGAGCTCAGTAAAACTTTAATACATTTGACTGCTGATGGGTGGGGCTGGGCTCCTGTTGGTTGTTTGGCCTGAGGCAACCCAACACTGGAGCCTACCTGGGCTCTTTGGTGGGGCTAATGGCAGGCTCTGGGAGGGGTCACGCCAAGGAGTACTTCCCAGAACTTCTGCTGCCAGTGTCCTTGTCCCTACTTCGAGCCACAGCCACCGCCTGCCTATGCAGGAGACCCTCCAACACTAGCAGGTAGGTCTGGTTCAGTCTCCACCGGGGTCACTGCTCCTTCCCCTGGGTCCCAATGCACACACTACTTTGTGTGTGCCCTCCAAGTGTGGAGTCTCTGTTTTGCACAGTCCTGTTGAAGTTCTGCAATCAAATCCCACTGGCGTTCAAAGTCTGATTCTCTAGGAATTCCTCCTCCCGTTGCTGGACCCGCAGGTTGGGAACCTGACATGGGGCTCAGAACCTTCACTCCAGTGGGTGGACTTCTGTGGTATAAGTGTTCTCCAATCTGTGAGTCACCCACCCAGCAGTTATGGGATTTGTTTTTACTGTGATTGAGCCCCTCCTACCATCTCATTGTGGCTTCTCCTCTGTCTTTGGATGTGGGGTGTCTTTTTTGGTGAGTTCCAGTGTCTTCCTGTCGATGATTGTCCAGTAGCTAGTTGTTATTCTGGTGTTCTCTCAAGAGGGAGCGACAGCACATCCTTCTACTCCGCCATCTTGGTTCCAAATCCTAGCTCTGTTTTTAGAAAAGAACAAACTTCAGAGAGACCTGGGTTTGAATCCAATGCCATCACTTACTAAGAATGTCTTTCCTCTTGTCATTTCCTCTCTCTGACATCAGTTTCCTCATTTGTAAAACGAAGTACTAGACGTGATGATCTTTTGGGTTCCTTCCAAACATGACTCTCCAAGAGCCTACTGTGTGCATGATGATGATACAGAGTGCAAGTGACGATCTAAAATCGTTTCACGTGCTTAGAGAGCAGACCACTTCCTGAGCACCTTCTCTTGCCTCGTCCTGTGCGCCTTCTCGGTTGGTAGGCTTCTGCAGGAATCCAGATCAAAGACACCCTTTGACAGCCTGCCTAGAAGACAGGAGCTTCCCAAAGCCATAGTCAGTCACCCTACCCATGAGCCCAACACTTCACGTGCTCTTAATGAGCCTGTGTTAGGAGAATGGTCCAGAGAGATGACTGAAGGCTGTGAGAAAGAGAGCTGCAGAGGTACAGGTGAGCTGAGGACATGGGTGGTCAGACTCTCCTGTGTGGCAAAGGCCCCTGACATCCGTTGACAAAAGGGGAGGGAGGAAGGTCCTCAACGGGACCTGATGGGAAGACAACAGCCATGCAGGTCCACATATTCATTTCCTGTCATCAGCAGGTGCTTGGTAAAACAGCATCCTACAAAGAGCTGGTCTGGGAGAAGGAGTTGGGATTCTAGACCTGGCTCCGAGGCACTGATTGACTCCCAGCAAGTCATTCATCTCTCTGAGCCTCAGTGACTCTGTCTTTATGCAACCAGGTTCTTTCAGGCCTCACGGCTCTGGAGATATAACCAGAATGTGAATCACAGTAATGGTTGCAGACACTAAGGCTCTAGGGTTCCCCGGGGAAAGTACTGGAGCCTTAGTCTCCAAATACTCCTAGTTCAAAGGCTTCTTGGTCCAAGAAAAAAGCAGCCTCCTCTTCTTCTATATCTGTGGCATCCGCCCTCTGTCCTCTATCATTCTCCACTCTCTCGCCCACTATATCCCTTGTGAACCTCCTGTAACCAGAAGCTCTGGTCCCAGCAGCGTGCAGGTAAATGTTTAAGCCCAGCTTTGTGGTGAGGGGAATGCCTAATTTATAGGGTTTGCCATGTGTCAAGTTGTAAACACTCTCACCAAAACTAATTTCAAGATACCAAATGTGACATCATTGAATGCAAAGGCAGGAAGAGCTGTGCAGAAGCACACCGTTTTACAGTATTTTCACCATGCAGATACAAAAGACATAAATAACTTCAAAAGCAGAGGTGGTAATAAAATGTTGTAAAGTAATTAGGAAGTGATGAATTTTGAGTATTTATTACCTTTTCTTTTATAATTTATTTGATTGTAACTTTATGTAATTTGGTTTTTAGTAATGGGTGTGTTTTAACAACTGTCTCATAAAATTTCTGAAAAATGCGTGGTCCTCCCCGTTCTGTCCTTCTCAGAGGTGCGCTGAGATTTGCAGAGGTACATAGTTGAGGCCCTGGCTGTGGAAGCCTTGTGGGTGAAATAGGGGCATTTATTTCTGCATGAATGTTTTGTCTCCCTTCTTCAACTTCAGTCTCCCCATCTGTCGTATAAAATATTCTTTCCAGATTCTCCTCCCTTTGTTAAGACGGTACTGAGAGAAGTGAGGTCCAGTAGTAGTAACACCCTGCATCTCATGGAACCTTACAGTTTACTAAGCCCAAAGCGCGTGTTGATTCTCACAGCAATTCTGTGAAGTGAGGTAGATGGAGAAGTGAAGTTAGTGGATGGACCATTTCACACCGGATCAGCAAACTTCTTCTGCAGAGGGTTAGAAAGTAAATATTTTAGGCTGCGCAGGCCATATGGTGTCTACCGCAACTGATTCTGCTCTTGTAGGTTGAAAGCAGCCATAGACAATGTGTAAAAAAAAAACAAGAGCAGCTCTGTTCCAGTAAACTTTACTTATGGACAATGAAATTTGAATTTCATATAATTTTCACATGTCAAATTATTCTTCTTTTGATTTTTTCTAACCATTTAAAAATATAAAGATCGTTCTTAACTCTCAGGCCATAGAAAAACAAATCATAGGCAAAATCTGAACTGCAGGCAATAGTTTATCATCCTTAACAGAGGAGGAAATTAAGCTTTGAAGAGAACATGGCCAGTTCAAGTTGTTATAAATGGGAAGAGTTGGGACTGGCTGGGCTCCAACTCTGCTGAGCTTTCCACTAGACCAATCGGCCATCCAAAGGAGCCGCTCTTGTTCTTTAATACATTCACCTGCGGGTGAATTTTCCGCTGTGGGAGTCTCTGTAATCCCCGGGGGATTGTGAATCATCTTCCCTTACTGTCCATTTCTGACTCTTTAACTGTAGTGGGCTGTCCTACGCATCAAAGTCAATCAGAAGAGGTTTTTGGACAATGTATACTTACAAGCAATTTGTAACCTGCTCCCCTTCTGTTAAGGCAGAAAATAAAGAACCACTGTAACAAATGTTGATTTTATGACTCTGTCCTATTTTCTCCCAGGTACCCTAGATTTTCACAAAGCAGGGACTACCTATCCATTCATTATTCTGTATTCTCAAGTGTGTAGTCCAGGACTATTCCTGTAGGAAAAACTTGGTGACTCATGACAAAGCTCCCTCGAGCCACAGTGATGTGTGACAAGAGGTGGTGTGACTTACCTGTGTGATTTCTTCTCCCTCCAATATATTATAGCAAAAGTTTTAAACATTCAGAAGGTGTTTTTTTTTTTTTTTTTGGCCACGTTGGGTCTTCGTTGCTGCGCGCAGGCTTTCTCTAGCTGGGCAAGCAGGGGCTACTCTTCGGTGAGGTGCACGGGCTTCTCATTACGGTGGCTTCTCTTGTTGCTGAGCATGGGCTCTAGGCGCGCGGGCTTCAGTAGTTGTGGCTCATGAGCTTAGTTGCTCTGCGGCACGTGGGATCTTCCCGGACCAGGGATTGAACCCATGTCCCCTGCATTGGCAGGCAGATTCTTAACCACTGTGCCACCAGAGAAGTCCCTAGAAGAATTTAAAGAACTGCGTAGTGAACACCCACCACCTAGATTCTATAACTAGCATTTTACTATATTTGTTTTATTACACATCTGTCCATCCATCAGTCCATTCTTTATGCTTTTAACACATTTCAGTGTAAGTGGCATACATCAGAACACTTAACTTTTAAACATTTTATCATCTTATTAACTAGAGTTCAGTATTTGTTTATGCTTATAAATTTATCTATCTACTTATTTATTCTTGGTCTGGTATACATTCGAGAGGCTCTAGAAGCTGCCTCCAGAAAATAGCTCCCCACTACACTGACCCCTGAAGACTTTACTTGGGCATTTCTTTCTTTGACTTTTCCAGGGCTTTGCTAAAGCAAATGCCTTTGGTGAAGAGAACTCATCTCTACCCAGCAGCAGCTGGAGTAGTGGAAATAGAATTTGGCCAGGCCAGGGTTTGAACCCCCACTCCATCACTTAATAGTTGCGTGTCCTTGGACAAAAAACACTTTTTTAATCTCTTTGAGCCTCTTCATATGTAAAATGTGGTTAATAATAACTACCCTGAGATAATAATAGTGAGGATCAAAAACTGTGTTTGTGAAATACCTGACAAATGATAGTGTGGTAGGACAACCAGATTGAGAAATGAATTGTGCCTCTATTTTCCTGTCTATAGGCATGTCACAAAAGAGTGAGAACTGTTTCCAGCTTCACCCCAATTCCACTCCAGGGAGATCATCCATGCTTTGAGTACTAAGGTTTAGGCTCTTCTTAACCCCTTGGGTGGAGAGGACTGCTTCCTTGTGTCTCCACTCTAAAATATGAAGCGAAAGGAAAATCAAACTTACCAAAGCTGTGGCTGGAAAGAGTTGGCTCCACAGGAGGCTGCTGCTTGGACTGGAGCTGGTGGGAGTGGCTTGAACCCCAAGGGAGAGTGAGGAGGAGTGAGGGAGTGGCAGGCTCTGTGCGTGGGGGAGACCTGCCCCCCACACCCACACAGCGACCCAGGACACAGCTGAACCTCTTATAGGGTCTGGAGGACTATGGCCAAGTTGGCACGGAGAGACTAGCCCCTAGGGGCAGCCCTCACTCCCTTGAAGGGACCCTACAGGTTCGGACTATGGGCAGAAGACTTTCCCCAAGCTTCCCAAATTGAGTAAGTATCCTGAACATTCAGACCACCTTACAGAGGGGAAGCAGAGTGGAATGTCCCTCCAGCTAGCTAGGTAGAATCTCACAGTCATATTTCATTTAGAAAATTAACAATCCATCCTTGCAGTTTCTTTCCTTCTTTTTCCTTCCAAAAGTCTGTGTCTTGAGAGACGTGCCAATGGCAAGTTGTTACATGGCAGAAAGGGAGTTAGGGACGCTGGAGAGATTCTTTCCCTCTGGCAGAGACAGACCTGAGAGACACTGAGAAGAGCGATCTGGCTCAGGAGTACCCAGCCCCCCATCTGTGGGGAGGAAGAGAGACTGAGGAAAGGGCAGAGGGAGCCGAGGGGAGCAAGACAGAAGGCTGGCATCTGGACTCCCCTAACCTTCTATCCCAGAACCAGACAGGCTCTTCCGCTCCCACTTATGTCCCAAGCTGCTTCTTCCTGTAGCTTGTCTGCTGGAGAGTAAAAAACAAATGGAACATGCAAAAAAATTCAGCAGAAATAATTACAGGTTACTACAAATCAATTGGTGAATAGTGAATAGCTGCAGGCAGGTAGCCCTGTCAGGGTTCTTCAGCTTAACACCCGGCCCTCCCATGGCGCTCCAGTGTTAGTCTCCGGGGTGAGACCAGAGAGTCCTGGATGTGATGCCCAAGGATCTGGGTGTGGGTCCCAGGCCCACCCTGACCAGCTGTGTGAATCCAGGCAATCCACTCCATCCCTCCTCACCTTGGTTTCATCACCTAGGCTGAGATCCAAATTACATGTACTACTATTACCTGTCACGGCTTGTTGAGGGAGATGAATCTCAAAGGATGTAGTAGATGCAAAAGTGCTTCAGATGATCTCCTGAATCCATCCACTTGTCTCCATCTCTATCAGTGACTCCTTGAACTTACTCCCACCGTCTCTCATCCAGCCTGCTGCAATGGCCCTACTGACTGGCCTGTATCCACTCTAGCCCCATTTCTAATCTTTTCAGTAGGCTTGCAGCCAGCTTGATTCTCTACGATCCAAAGTCTGACCATGTACCCAGGGTTGTCTAGTCCCTGAGGACTGAAGGGAACGTGGGACCGAGGGTTGCGGTGCTAAAGGTAGTTTGGATTAAGAGAGAGAGATAGTGCTGGCGAGGAGGGTAGAAAGGAGGTGGTACAGCACCTGTACAACAGCATTCATTGCGTGTTCTGTGGCGTGGTGAGGGGATGTGAGGGGTCTGTTACAGTGTCCCATCCCCATGTTGCTTAACAACTATGGGTTTGCAAGTGTGAAACAAATGGAGTGCAAAGTTGTGTACTCCTAATTATAAAATATTTCCGTCTGCTGCAGAAGCCCCAGGAAGTTCATGGTAAGGGCTGGAATTAAGACGAGACCTTGAAGAGCTGGATTACGGCAAAGAGGGAAGGATGGGCTTCTGGAGAGGGGATCAGATTGGGCTATTCTTGGTTGGCTGGGGGTAGCGGTGTGGGGACCGAGTAGTGAGGAGAAGGGGCCCAGCCCTAGGAAGCTGGCTGGACTCCATGGGGCGGCTGGCTGGGTAGTAGAGTCAGGTGAAGCAGGACTTCAAAGTCTAGCCTGAGGCGATGAGATCCAATTTAGACTAAATGTGGATAACCTGATGAATTATTGATTTGCTTAATGGGTAATTTCATAGCTCAGAAGTGGAGGAAGCAAGGGAGAAATTCACTGCTCTGGACTTAACTCTAACCAGCCTCAGGGAACACTTGTTGGCCATCAAGCGACCGAGCCTAGGGAAAGTGACTGTCAGCCTGGAGTGGTCACAGTAAGGAGGGCACCATGGCCCAGCAGGCATCGGTGCTAAGCTTGAGGGAAGGGAATCTGAAAATCCCTGCTTGGGAAAACAGAGGGGTCAGTCCCTTGGCCAGAGACTCAGGAACAGTGGCAACAGTGGTGGTGTGGGGAGGGGTGGCCGAGTTCACAGAAGATACGGGCTCTGAAGATGGAAATCTGCAATTGGCCACAAATAATTCTAAAGAGAGAAGGCATTGGCTCTTCCTCACCCCACCCCCACACATACCCACTAGTTCTCTGCTCCTGTGTCTGTCATTAGGCATTCAGGCCTTAATTCTCCCAGACACCCCACTGAGAGTACCAGGAGCCTTGCACAGTGGAACTGGAATGTTGTCGCAAGGCTCCTTACAGAATCCCTGAGGGAGGCAATAAAGAAGGGGTTTCTCCTCCCTTGGCCTCTCCACGTGGCCCTGTGCTTCTCGCCTCAACTCCGACCCACCCTGACAGGCCAAGTCCCTCGCCCGGACTCCCAGCCCTCCTCGGACTCCGTGCCCTGTCTCTGGCCATGCCTATGCTCTCTGGGTCCCCCTCCAGCTTCCTGATCTGAGACAGGTCCTCGCCCTGTGCTCTTTGGAAGAGAGAGGGCAGAAGCTGAGGTGGTCGGGAAGTGGAGCCCAGGGACTCCAAAGCCAATCATGCCACCTCCCCCCAGAGTTAGCCCAAAACAGCACAGAGGGAAGTAGGGGCAGCATTCCACACCCCCCTCCACCGTCACAAGGAGGCTTCTTGCCACCGCAGGGCAACACCTGGTGCAGGGCAGGCACATCAGGTTGAAGGAACAGTGGATGTCTGAAGCACTTGCCAGGCGCTGGCCCTGTGCCGTCACTCCAGGCACTTGGGATGGATTAGTGAACCGAAGCGGTGAGAATTCCCGCACCAGTCAGGCTTCCATTCTAGGGAGGGGAGAAGGGCAAGGGCAGCACACCTAACAAATGAGTGCATTGGGTGCTACATTAGAGGGTGATAAGTGTTACAGGGAACACAGAGCAGAGTATAACGGGATGGGGAGGGTGTTTTAAGCAGGGCGGTCAGGCCGGACCTCATTGGGAAGGCGACATTTAAGCAAAAACTTGAAGAGGTGAAGGAGAATCGCAGGCAGTGGAAACAACCCTGAGGTGGGAGGGGTTTGGCCTGCTGGAGAAACAGCAGGAAGCAGAGAGGGCGGCCAGACGTGTGGACTGCTACACAAATGAACAACTGAATTCAGGCCTTAGATCAAATGTTACCTACCTCCGAGGTCCTCCTTGAACTCTACACAAAACAGCACCCCGGCTCTACCCCTTCACCCTGCTTTGTTGTCTTCATTGCCCCCACTATCATGAGGCATGTTACATATTTATTTGCATTGTCTGCCTCCCTGAGAGTCGATATAAGCTTCATGAAGGCAGGGACGTTACCCGTGTCTGCTCTGTCCCCAGGGTCTGGCTCACAGTCAGTGCTCCATCAGCACGTGCCAAATGTCAGAACTGCTTGTGAGCGGGATGCCTTCCACCCCAGAGGCTGCAGAGGAGCCTCCCAAGGTAGTTCTTTATTCCCTGAACTGCAGGGAACGTTCTGACCCACCATGACTCTCATCGTCCTGAGGGGAAGTCCATAGCAGTGCCACAGGGCTCTTTCACTGGCCTTGATCAGTTGAGGGCCGTGCAGGCAGAGTCTCCTGTAAGCATTGTCCTAAGACCTTCCTCGCAGGCAGGCAAGTATTTTGCTTTCCTTTATGCACCAAATATTTGTTGGGCAGCTACTATATGCCAAGCACAGAGGAGCAGTTGGAATGATGCCACCCTAGCCCTTTGCAGGCCCCCCTAGGGCCAGCCTTCGTTGGGCAGATGGGTGGAGTACGCCAGGTGCATGCCAGGCCCTGGGGATGCAAAGATGAACAGCACAGTAGTATCTGCATTAACCAAGCTGCTGACAATCTAGTAGATGTGAAAGACATGTAAACGACTATGTCACAGTGATAAGTACAATGACTCTGTATACAGAGAACAAACTGCAAGTGAGTGCTGTGTCACCTTGCGGTCTGGTTTGAAGTACCCCCTCCCCCCCAGTCCTTTTCCTGCTGAGCCTGGAAAGAGGAATTCACTTGTAAGGGTTAAGCATTGTGCTCCCCTGGTGGCCTGGACATAATTAATATTCCTGAGAGAGTAACTAACACATGATCACATGATGCAATTTAGGCGATCACCTTCTGATGTATGAGGACACAGGATGCCGTGTGAGGGGGTGATGGAGAGAAAGGAGGGGCTGAGGGACCCTCCTCTCCCAGCTCTCTGTCCCCTCTCTTTCAGTGGTCTCCATTTTTAGGTGCCAAGGCTTTCAGGCTGTCTGGAGGGTTCTCTAATCCTAGAGGGAAAGATTTGATAAACACGTTAATTAACACATTCACTCTAATAGGCTCATGATCTGGGATCTCCTCACAGCTATGCTTTCTTTTCTCCCTTGCTGCATCCACTGGGGCAATTAAAATTTCCATCTCCATACAGCGGGATGTGGCTTCCTGAACCCCTTCCTCACCCCCTGTCTCTGAGGCCAGCCCTTACCATCCATGTCCTGGCTGTGGATAGGGCCGATGAATATGGGGTTTCTTGATTTTTAGCATGAATTGGAGAAAGACTCCTATAACTACCTCTGTGGACAAACTAGAGGAATAAGTTGGATGATAGCATATTAGATAGAGATCTTATTGGTTTAGTAGCCAAAAAGTATTGATTATTATCATCACAGAGATAAACAACAGGGCTTTTTCACTGGTTTTGGCTTTTTCAAGATTTTAATCAGTGGCTTGGATAAGACTGAATAGCACAAAGGTTAGAGGAAAACATAACACAAAAGTCAGTAAGCTCAGATATGTAAAGACCCAATGAGGAGGGACAAACCAGATGGTCTGCTGAATGACCCTTGGGCAGCCCAGTAGAACGCTGGCTCTGTAGGAGGGCTTCAAGAACTTGGGTTGGAACCAATGCTGATATGCAAACTTCTCACACAACTCATTGGGGAATAGGATATTTCTCATGCCAACAAGGTTGTAACCCAGGTTGCAAAGCTCAGGATCTATCCCCTCTAACCTTCATCATTAATATGCAAGGCAATGGGGCACCAGGTTCCCTCTCTTGGATTGCAAACACACACACATGGCACTCCAAGTCATGGTCGGCCTAAGCATGCCTCTCCTTGAGATGACAAGTGTCTGGGAGGACTGTGTCCATCCTGCCAGCCACATGCCTGAGCACCTCTACTTTGAGTCTACATTGTATATCATTTATACAGTGTTTATCCTTACTCCTTACACCACAGATGAGTCAAAACAAGATTTTTTTTGGAAAGATATAATGTTATATAGATAAATATGCTGCATGTAGGCTAAAAAAGCAATTATATAAGTCCACGAACGTGGTGGAGACTTGCCATCATAGCTTGAGAGAAACCAACGAGTTTAGCGGACTCAGAATGAGTAAGGGGAGTGATATGTGGTCTGTGGCTTGCTCCAGATTTCAGGAGAGGACCTTGCCCACCCCTGGACAACTATGCCTAGTGCTGCCCACTCTAGTCCCAAGGAGAAGCCAGGCTAACGGCTGCTGCGGATGTACAGACAGAGTACTTACAAGGCTAGTGGAGCAGCCAAGAGAACCAGACTGGAGCAGACTAACTGTTTGAGACTGACAAATTTAGAGTAAGGCTAGCCCAGGCTCATGTCCAGGATTCTAAAGCAGAAAGGAAGGTCGAGAGAGACAGGGAATGGACCTGGATGACTCTGAGAGGACCGAGGGAGAAGCCAAAGCATACCATACTGGGGCAAAAAGGAGCAAGTGGTTAGGGGGCTGAGTCAGTCACTGAGGAGGGAAGCTGATGTGGGCTGAAGAAAAGGAAGAGCAGGGTGGAATGCTGCAGCCGAGGAGCTTCTCTGGAAAGGGTGGTTTCTTTGAGGAAACTCCAGTACAACTATCTTCCTTATTTTAAAAACTATTTATTCTTTTTTTAAAAAATCAAAGTAATGCATGGGTACCGTTTTTTTTTTAATTCAATAGTACCACTAAGTCTACAGTGAAAAAATTGCAATCCTTTCCCCCTACTTTTTTGAATTCCTGCTTCCTAGAAAAAACTGCTTTCGACTCTCTTCTCTGTTTCTTTTGTTTTCCCCCAACCCCTTATTTCTAAGTAGCAGGATCATACTGCTATCTCTTGGTTTTTCAGTTTTAGCTTTTTTGGATCCTATACCAACCTTTCCTGCACTCCTGCCCCACTCACAATCAATTCTTCCCATCCTCCCATTATAGTACTCTCACCTTGTGGGTGAAATCAGTGTTCAGTGTTGATGGTGTTATGGTTATGGAAATGTAATTCACTGCTTATCTGGGGAATACAATAAAACTATTTTATTTTTTGGACAACTTTATGTTTTGCTGGAGTTAATAATTGCCTCATTGTTTGCCTGCTTGCTTAGTTTTCCATGTACTTATTACAAATTCGTTTCAAATTCTCTGGCCAAACAATAAAAATCATCTTAATATGTGCAAACATATTAAGTAGTCTTTTTTTTTCCCTCAGAGATTTCTCTCCTATACCCTTTTTCTTTCTGTTATATCTAACTTGTAACTGTCGAAGCTTGCTGTACAACTGTTATCACGAGCATCCCTTCATCATTAATCTGAGAATTTCTTTTGCCTCTCTCTTGGGTTAAATCTCCTGTTTTCTGAATTCCACATTTTTCTCTTTCTGAGGTTATTTACTCTTTTTGGCAGAATACATCTGCAAGTAGCTTCTTGTGAAAGATAAATGAGAAATTAATTTTTGAAGCCTTGAAAACGTCTGAAAATGTCTTTATGTATTTTTTACAGCTTTATTGAGATATATTTCACATACCATAAAACTCACCCACCTAAAGTGTACAATTCAATGGCTTTTAGTACATTCACAGTAGTATGAACACCACAATTTAATGTTAGAACATTTTCAACACCCCAAAGAAGAAACCCTGTCCACATTAGCAATCATTCACTATTTCTGCTCACCTTACTCCCCCAAACTCCCTGCCTCAACCCCAGACAGCCACTAATTTACCTTCTGTCCTTATGAGTTTGCCAATTCTGGACATTTCACCATATAATATGTGGTCTTTTGTGACTAACTTTACTCACTTAATCTTTTCAAGGTTCACCCTTGTTGTGGCATGTATCAGTACCTCATTCTTTTTCATTGCTAAATAATAATTCTGGCATATGAATATACCACGCTTTGTTTGTTCATTCATCAGTTGATGTATATGTGCGTTGCTTCCACTTTTTGGTTATTTTGAATAATGCTATGCCGGACATTAATGTCTAAGTTTTTTGTGTGGACCTACGTTTCATTTCTGGGGTATATACCTAGGAGTGGAATTGCTAGGTTACATAACTCTATGTTTAGCATTTTGAGCAACTGTCAAACAGTTTTCCAAAGTGACTGAACCATTTTACATTCCCACCAGCAATGTATGAATGTTCCAATTTCTCCATATCCTCACCAATACTTGTTCTCTTTTTTATTTTAGCCATTCAAGTGAGTGTGAAGTGGTATTTCATTCTGATTGGCTTTACATTTCCCTAAGAATGATGTTGAGCATATTTTCATGTTTATTTACCACTTGTATATCTTCTTTGGAGAAATGTCTATTCAAATCCTTTGCCAACTTTTAAATTGTACTATTTGTGTTTTTATTGTTGTAAGAGTTCTTTATATATCCTGGATATATGTGATTTGCAAATATGTATTGTTCTATGGGTTATCTTTTCACTTTCTTGCTAGTGCCCTTTGATACACAAAGGTTTTCAAATTTGATAATTTCTAATTTATCTATTTTTCCTTTTGTCACTTGTTTTTAGTGTTGTATCTAAGAAACCATTGTGTAATCAAAGACCACAAATATTTACTCCTATGCCTTCTTCTAGGAGGTTTATAGGTTTAGCACTTACATTTGGGTCTGTGGTCCATTTTGAGTTAATGTTTGCATATGGTGTGAAGCAGGGGTCTAACTTCAGTCTTTTGCTTATGGATATCTAGTTTTCACTGACCATTTGTTGAAATAAAAAATCTATTCTTTCCCTCGTTGAATTGTCTTGGCACCCTTGTTAAAAATCAGTTGACTATATACTTGAGGGTTTGTTCCTGGACTCTCAATTCTATTGCATTGATCTATATGTCAATTCTTATGCCAGTACTACATTGTCTTAATTACTGTAGCTTTGTAGTCAGTTTTAAATTGGTAAGTATAAGTCCTCCAACTTGCTCTTCTTCTTCAGCATTGTTTTGGCTATTCTGGATCTCTTGCCTTTCCATATGAATTTACAATCAGCTTGTCATTTTTTGCAAAAAGAGTCTAGAATTTTGATAGTTATTGCATTGAATCTGTAGATCAGTTTAGGGACTATTTACCATCATGACAATGTTAATTCTTCCAATCTATAAACATGGGATCCCCTTGCATTTATTTGCATCTTTAATTTATTTTTTAAATGTCTTGTAGTTTTCAGTATACAAGTCTTGCATTTCTTTTGTTAAATTTATTCCTAGGCATTTTCTTATTTTCACTGTGATTATAAGTGGAATTGTTTCCTTAATGCCTCAATTAATTAATTTTTAGATTGTTCATTATTAGTGTATGGAAAGATAATTAAAATTTTAATACATTGATCTTGCATCCTGCCACATTGATGAATTCATTTATTAAATCTACTACTTTTTAGAGGATTTCTTAGGATTTTCTATATACAAGGTGTTGTCATCTGCTAATAATTTTATTTCTTCCTTAAGTGGATGACTTTAGTTTTTTTTAATGACTAATTGACCTAGTTAGCCCTTCCTGTTTAATGTTGAAGAGAAATCATGAGAGCAGACTTCCTTGTCTTGTTCCTGATCTTAGGATGAAAGCATCCATTCTTCCACCATTAATTATGATCTAGCTGGGGGTTTTTCATAGAATGCCTATTATCCGATTAAGGAACTTCCCTTCTATTCCTATGTTGTTAAGTGTTTTTATCATGAAAGAATGTTGAATTTGTCAAATGCTTTTTCTTTGTCTGTTGAGATGATTGTGTGATTATTATTATCCTTTATTCTATTAATAAGGTGTATTACATCGATTGATTTTAGTAGGTTAAATCAACCTTGCATTCCTGGGACAAATTTCATTTGGTCACAGTGTATAATCCTTTTTTATGTTGCTGAATTTGGTTTGCTAGTATTTGTTGAGTATTTTTGCATTTATATTCACAACAGGTAGTCTGTAGTATTGTAGATGGTCTGTAGTATTCCTGTGATAATATTAGTTTTGGTATCAGAGTAATACTTATCTCATAGAATAAGTTGGG